TCTGTCACGGACGGACCGGGAGGACCTGCCGGCTTAGGATCGTCCGTCTTGGCAGTCCCTCTGGCCTTCGCCCGCTCATGGGTGCCTTCGGGGCTCTTGGACGGTTGCCTTTTCGCAGGAGTCGGTGAGGACGAGGAGTCGGCTTTAGGTCTCGGCGGTGGTCTGCTGCTCTTGCCTGTCGTGGACCAGGAGGGTCTCTAGGTGGGCCTTCTGGCTGGCCATGATCATGGATGACCTGCCTCATCTGGTCGATGTCGGCAGTACCCTTTATGGCCAGCTTGTACTTGCCATTCTCGTGGCGGTAGAGTACCCTCGTGCAGAACCACTTCTGCGCCGAAGAACTGTAGTACCAGCAGGCGCTTCCGTCAGGGAAAGGATTCTCTGAGCCGTCTTCCGCCGCCCACTCTTCATTTAGCTCGGTGCGGTCAGTGCCGGCGGCGGACCCGGCAGCAGAGACAACGTCTATCCACTCGTCCGCAGATCCAGCGGCTGGTGCTGCTTCTGCGGGTGACCCCGCTTCCTTGCTGGATTCTGCGGGTGACCCCGCTTCCTTACTGGATTCTGCGGGTGACCCCGCTGTCCCTTGGAATCGGCGGTTCCATTCCTTGAGGCGGTGGTCATTGGGAAGCTTTGCCCAATTTTCCCTGACGGTGTTGGCCACCTCTTCGGTCATAGGGACGCGATCGGCCTCCGTGATGCGCTTGCCCCCTCCAGGAACCTCTTTGTTTGGATCATGGACGTTGCCAGCGTCGTCTCCGTGAGACCAATTCCACGGGGTCTCTCCGTGGTGAGGGCTCCTGGAGGGGCGGTCCATCGGACACCTGCGCATGTGGCCTTTAAAGGGCTCACACTGACATACTTGCTTTCTGTACGTTTTGCGGTCAGTGATGATCTCCTGCTTCTTCGCCCTTTTGTCCCAGGCCTCTGGCGTCTTGGTCTTGCCGCCCTTGGTACGGATTATCGCGCCAGTCTCGTCCCTTTTGGCACAGTATTCCTTAGAATACCAGTGCCGAAGAGTATCCATAGAGTAGCCGGGGTACCATCTTATGTACCAATCCGGCACCTGCTGAGCAGATACTCCAACGGAGTGCTCAGTGCTGTATGGATAGCCCGATTCATCATGCGTAGGGCGTCTAGGAGCTGAGCGGCTCCTTCCGCGGGCTGGCCCCGCTGACGCACTACCGCGTGTCACTGGCCTTTGATCGTCATGCTCTGAGTCTCGGGGAGGCGACGGTCGCCTGTCCCTCTTGGCGTACCGCATGTCCTCCGAGTCCTCTGAGCTGTCCTGGACCATGAACACGTTTTGATACGGGCTTCTGAAGTATCCGATGTCATTCAACTGCTCCATCGAGAGGTCGTTAATGTTCATTTGATCGCAACCTTGCATGAATACATCCATAGACCAAGCGGGTGGCCCCGCTGTTGTGTCTAGCATCTCTTCGGCGGGTGACCCCGCTAGAGCTTGAAGTGCTTTAAGCATCTGAGATGCTGACATGTTCGAATCCAAGTATGGACGTAGACGGGCAACTCCTGGGTGTGACAGCAGTTCGTTCATCGTCATCTGCTGCTGTGCTGGCGCACTCAAGAGTCGGATTGCTTCTGAAACCTGCTCCTGGAGCATGCCGTTATAATCTTCTTCGGATTCTTCGGAGTCGGAATCCGCGGGATGGCCCCGCATTTCGTCATCAGCGTCTCCCATCTCCGAGCCAGCCCACGACGGATTTGGCATCAACGGCATGCCAATCACTTGTGGGGCCAGCGCGGCGGTGAGTTCTTCCTCTGTTGCCGGGACAGTCTCGGCTTCGGAGACCTCGTCACCGGCGGGTGGCCCCGCTGGAAGACCGAACCAAGCATTGTACGCAATCTCATCGACCTCGTCCCAGCCGTGGAACTCGTCGAAGAGGGTCACTGCGTAGTCTTCCAGGGCCACAGTTGCTTCAGCATCGCGGGCCATCACGTAATACGTGGAGGAGCCCGCAGCGGGAGCCGCTTCTGGATTGACGTAAAACTCGTAGTCAATGTAATCTATGTCATCCATAAAAGAATTTTGAGCCAAGTGTACGGATCCCTTTCCTTTCCCCTTCGGGCAGTGATCGCGCAAATGCTCTGTGCTACCGCATGTATGACACTTCATAGTATTACCAGAAGCGTCCCTAGGGTTGCCCCTCCGCCCTTTTCCTTTACCGGAGGTCCGCCTGTGACCCCGACCTTTGCCTCCGATAAGAACTTCTTCAAAAGCCATATCAGTTAAGGACGTGAGGAAAGCAGTAATACCCCTACCATGCATACGGCGTCTGCGACCCCCTTTACCACGACCCTTTCCAAATTGTTTGAAATGTCGGCGTACTGCACGTCTCACCTTTCTGACTGGTTTCTTCATAAAGCGCCTCCAACGGCGTTTTGATTTGCGATAAGCCATAAAGGCGGCTTCCGCCCTGTGTTGTTCAGAAAGGTGAGTGTCATCCGCTGGATAGTCATTACCAGCAGAGACTATTCCATTGTGCTCATCGTCAGATGAGGTGTCTGTGTCAGTGCCAGATTCAAACGGTGAGGGTGGCTGAGACCTTGAGCGGATGACTCCGCTTGGCCCCAGAGGGTTGTGCCCGAGGGCGGGCTTGCAGTGTAGGCGGCGCCTGGCGAGTAGTTCGACCAGGCGTTCGCCTCAGCTGCCTCTGCCGATGCCTGGCCGGTCTGCCCTAGAAGGGCAGTGGCCTCGTTGGGCATATTGGCTGGGTCAGCCCAGGGATTTGGCTCGCCAGGACCAGCGGGTGACCCCGCAGTCGTGGCGTAAACACCTGCATGTGAGTGGTGCCCTGTGAAGATACCCGCTATATTACCAGGAGAGCGCTCGGCAACATGTCCGTAGTTCCTCATCCTGGTCAGCAGCCTGTCATAGTCTGCTTGTGTTCGGGGCATCTGATGATTGAAGGGCTCAAGCAGGTGTTGGGCTCGTGACGCGCCAACGCCTAACGCTCTGAAGAGAATCAGCGTTAGGATCTGAAAGTTGGGGATGACAAAGCCAACAGAGTTAGCCTCGTCACGGGCATCTCGAATCGAGCTAATACCGAGTCGATTCGCTCGCCCCTTTCGACGCGGAAGTCGATAAGGGCCGTGCCAGAGTTGAGCTGGCGCTCATCTTCCAGATTTTCAAATTTGGTGCTCAGCAAGTACAGTATGTAGGTTACTGCATCCGTTGGCTGTCCATTGACAGTTACACATAATTGATGATCTGGGAGGGGACCTGCATGGCGATACGACGAGCCAGACCTTGAAGGCCTCGTTGTAGTGCTGCAGCTTGTTGTGGTGGTGTCATATTGCCGCTCGTTACGTTTAACCATGCATGTACTTCGCGAACGTATTCGCGGAAAGGCGTAGTACCGGCAGGGTCCCATGAAGGGCCAGTAGTACGCGTGTCGTCCATCCCCTGCCGCATGTATCCCACAGCACATCCCATTATTACCCACAGAATGCCGAAGATAGTTATCTTGATCCAATGCATGTGCATTTCGGCTTCGGTGATTGGTTTAGGCTGTGGTTTGTCAGGCTCTGGCGTAGTAGCCGTGAGGCGCCTGACTGGCACGGGATGCAGGTGGCCCCGCTGCGGGTAGCCCCGCAGGGTGACCACGTTCTCGATCGAGTTGCCGATTGGCATCTGGTGGAAGTCGGGAGTGAAGTAGCGCAGTGAAGTAGGAGAGAGCGTCTCGAGTTCGCGGGTTGCCCCGCTAGCTCGATCGCGGACTGGCTCCGCTCCTCGCAGAGCCGGCGCAACATGGTATTCCACCGTGGTAGTAGTCCACCAAGTTGTGCCGTGGATTACAGGAATCAGAGCGAGAGCCAGCCACACGAGAGTGTAGCCAGCTCCGCTACCAAGTCGAAAACAAGCTGGTAAGCTTAGGTATACAGTCCGCCTTAGGCGCTTCCATATCCCAGGCTTAGGCTCATAGCGCATGAGCAAGAGAGCGAGACGAAGCATGGGATCTGGAGTAAAGAGTAGGATGGGCATCGTCAATGGAAAGGATGTTTTCCGATCTCAGATGCAAGTAGTGCGCCTCGGTGAGGCACAGTCACATATCTTGGCCGGGCCCGGCTTGAGCCAGGCACGGCAGCGGTACATGCTCGATTTATACCTCGCCTTTAACCTTCTCCGTTTAAAGTATGTCCCCCTACAGGCCGATGTTCGACGAAAAAAACTTAAAAATGAAAAATCAAAAGATGGTATAAAGAAATGCTCGAAATATCGTCCACGGACTATTTTTTCACTATTGTTGAATATTCCTCCTGTCGGGGGACACGCCCGACGTAACCCTACCCCCAAGATTGTGAAGCCCCACGTGCGATAACAATCACAGGGATGCGCCCTCGGGAACTGAGGGACCTCCCAGCGATCGGCGTCGAGATCGAGGGATGCGAATCACGGGGGCAGGGACCTGCTCCAGGTTGGTAACCCCCATGTTGCCCCGCCCGCGGCCCCGTCGCCGGGCCTCCCCCCCCCCGATAAAACTGGCCCCGGCCGGCAGTGCCGCCGCGGCGGTGGGCGCGTCCGCAAAAGTATACGCGGTGCTCCCCCTCCCTGGACAAGAAGCAGCTGCAGCAACATGAGACTTTCAGAGCTCCGCGCGAGCTTCCTGGATCGGCGCCCGGGACGCGCTGCCAGCGGGGCCCAAGTGCCGATCCAAGAGAGCGGCGCGGAGCTCCGAAAGCTGACGCTTTCATGTCGCACAGTGGAGGCCAGTCAACAAGAAACCTTCCAGAAGAAACCCAACCCTGAGACCCCCCCAGGACGTCCTTTGATTTTCTGGTGTGGGGACGTCGCGCTTTCCAGAGAAAAAAACCAGCGGAGCCCAAGAAAGCCAGGGCACCCTGGAGGCAAGCGGGGTGTTTCTTGGCCTGGGTCCCCGCTGTGATTTCTTATTCGGCGGAGGCCTCACGAAAAAGCGCGGGGGACGGGCACCCCACGAGTGCGAAAGTGGCGGCGGGGGGGAACGGGAAGAGGGCCGCACCCTGCCCAGCACGTGGTCCATCTGCAGGTTGTGCTGGCGGAGCCCCTCTGCGCGCTCCTCCTCGGTCTGCTGGAGGGACTTGAGGACCTTGATGGACTCCCTGAACGTCTCCTTTCGGCCGCACTCAAGAATGGCCCTTTGGTGAGAGTGGCCTTTGGAGCGCGGCTTCTTGGGGGGCCGCGGGGGGGCCAACACACAGGCGCGCAAGACGCTACTATCCCATCGCGTTCGGCGATCGGGGGATTCCAATAGGCCCGCACCAAGGGTCACTCCGGCGAAGGGTCACCCTTACGTGTAGTCGACCCTTCGAGGCCAGGTCAAGATCAGTCGGCGTCGCATCGGGAGGTCGGGTCGAATCGACATGTGCGCCAAATCGGGCCGCACCGGAAAGGAGTCGGACTGGAGGGACTTGGGAAGCTTGATGGACTCCGCGAGCGTAGGACAAGTGTGAGTGGTGGGCCGAGATGGGCGCGGCGGGTCCATTCGGACCCCCCACTAAAGCCTTCGGTCGAATTTTTTGGGATGCAGAAAAACATGTGAAGGGTGTGCCGACATAGGCGCGACGGCGCCATGCAGCCGCACCCACGAAAGCCCTGGGTGAAGCTCCATGGGAGGCAGCAGACGTGTGAGAGGGGTGAGGAAGAGGAAGAGGGAAGCCGCAGGCAAAGTGCATCATCCCATTCGTGAATGCGCCCCCGAACGTATGCAATGTATAATCCCCGTTCCTTAGGTCGTGCCCCTGCCATCTGCAAAGATACTTGTATGCCTCCCACCGATCAAAAAATAGCATACTTTGTGTTAGCCAACATGCTGTACGGGCCAATCAAGCGATCTGATTTGTTCATCCATGCATATTTGCGCATAGCTCCTTACATGTTGACGCATACCCAGAGAAGGCCAAAATTGTCCTGGATACCTTGGTGAGCAATCAGGATGTTCGTGAGTTGTGCTGAGTACGACTTTCGCTTCTTATCCGTCTCCAGTTGGCCCCGTTATGAAAGCCGTGTGGTGTGTGTGTGTGTGTCTGCGGGTGTGTGTAATGTGTGTGTATGTGTGTATGTGTGTGCGTGTGTGTGTGCGTGTGTGCGCGTAATGTCTGCGAGCGTGTGCGTGCGTGTCTGTCGGCGAAATGTCGCCGCCCAGTCTGGGGGGCACCCCAAGCGACCCGGATAGTCGGCACTGGCCCAAGGCCACTACAATACAAAAAAATTGGCCAACGACGTTCGTTTCCGCCAGGATCCGCTGACGGAGCCGCCCGCGCTCTCCTTCCGCCGCCCTCGCGCCGCCCTTTTGCGCCGGCTTCCGCCGAGGACTGGATGGCAGCTCCTTCGATCCTCGAAGGCCCTTTCTGGGGCGCCCCAGTCGGACATTTGTCACAGAAAAGTCACCTTCTGAATTCTCAGACTGAACAACACAGATTCCGAAACGCGCCACGAGGTTCGCACAAAAACAGTTGTTCCCATACAAAACAAGAGGGTCACCCAAACATGGCTGACGTCGACGGCACCCCGCCCGACGCTTGCAGCTTTGACCTTGGCCGACCCTTGGCCTCCGAGAAAACCACTACTCTTCCAGGAGATCGCGGAAGCCTTCCAAATTGATACTCCAGAAATTTGCAGGTATCCTAAAAATGTGGGGCAACCTCGCCCAAGCAATCCTTAAAACTGACACTCGCTAGAATGCGTACTCGGCAGGAGCATGCAACGACAAGGTCTGAACAGGTAGACCCTGCAAGGAACCACAGAGAAAGAACTGTAGCGGCTAGTAGTTCCACTTGAAGCTATACTTGCACAGGGCATTAGCAGCCAGGCTCTTGGCTCGAGCCTCATCTTTTTAGTCCGCCAGACTTCAGCAAAGTGGTCGGAGCGTCTATCTCCGCCTCATCGATCCTCGATGCTCGAGAATCGATTGATTGTGTTTTTCGCGCGAAAGGGCATCTGGAGGCATCTGGAGATCTTCAGGGACCTCCAGGGACCTCCTCCTCCTCACCTCCTCCCCCTTTGTCCAGTGGCTCTTTCTTCACTCACCCAATAGTTGATCAATTTGAGCTGCAAAGATAGATGGAAGGAATGATCTCCCTTGCCGCCACTCCGCCTCCTCGTGAGGCAGCAGCTTGAGGGGCCAGAGCTTCCTCGAATAAAGACTTGTCCCCCTCCTCCTCCCACATCCCCTCACCTCTCACCCGAGCCTTGAAGGTCTGGTTCTCCTTGCTCAGCCGCATGTTCTCTGTCCTGACGGTCCCGAGCTCCTCGACTTCCCGCCTGAGTTTCTCGAGCTCCTGCGACGGGGGCACAAGCTTAACCTGATAACACTGATAAGGGGAAGCGAGTCCAACCAAGGGGGTCGGGGCAGGAGGGAAAAGGTGTCACACCTGGCCTGCTGCTGCTGCTGCTTTGGCCGCGCGAGCGGCCTGGCCCAGCACGACGCCCTCCTCCCGCGAAAGCCCGAAAAGTTTCAAACCTCTCTCAGAGTCGAGGAGCCCATAGGCCCGACCCTCCCTGGGCCTGGCCCCGGTCTGCGCAGGGGGGAGGCGGAGGAGGAGACGGAGGAGGGAGCCAGGCCGCGCCGCAGAGGCTGGCCCCGAGGCAGCAGCAGGGCGCCAGGAGGCGGAAGAGGAGGGAGCAGCAGCAGGAGGAGAGAGAGGGGGGAGCAGCAGCACGAGAGGGAGGAGGAGGAGGAGGAGGAGGAGGAGGAGGAGGAGGAGGAAAGGAGGAGGAAAGGAGGAGGAGGAGGAGGAGGCGGAGGAGGGGGAGGAGGAGGACCAGTGTAAACCCAAGAGGCATCAACGATTTTGAAATAAGTACACCCTCTCTCCAAGCTCCCTCTTCATGGGCCCCTACAACTGATCATGTTTACTTTGAAGACACTGATGCATGCCAAGACATTGTTCTCGGGATTCCAACGCCACGGATCAACCTGACTGCTGCGTCTTGACGATCCTGAATCGTGCCAGAACACCATTCCTGGGACTTGAACACCGCGAGTCAACATAACTTGTGCACCCTCATAGGCCTGAATCCTTCCAAGACGCCATTTCTGGTACGTTGGTCATGGAAACCCTTCAAACTCTTGTAAAATCATAACACAAATGCGCACGGCGCTAAGGCGAGAGCCACATGTTGAAAAGGAACCGCCCTCAATCCGTGAAACTCTTGCAAATGTTTTACGACGAGTGTGCGCGGCGCTAGGGCGAGAGCCACCTTTTGAAAAGGAACCACCCTCAATCCGTGAAATTGTTGCAAATGTGGAAGATGGATGCGCGCGGCGCTAAGGCGAGAGCCACATTTTGAAAACCACCCGCCCACCATCTGTGAAACTGTTGCCACATTTTAAGCTTCAGAATCATAAGTGGTGAGGAAGCCTCAGGCGAAACGCCTCAGGCGAAACGCCCGGCCCGCCCTAAAAACTGGCTTCGGGGTGCGACAGGGAGACATTAGTTCGCAGGAAAAGGAATGCAGGAGGAGGAAGAGGAGGAGGAGGAGGAGTAGGAGGAGGGGGAGAAAGAGGAGGAGAAGCAGGAGCAGATGGAGAGGGCTGCGCCTTCGGTGGGAGACACGGGGCGGCTCCCTCTCCTCCCACTCCTTCCCTTCTCCTCCTTCTGCCCCCCCTGCTCCATATCCTCCACCCTGGATCAGAAAACAAACGACACAACCCCACCTACGGCCCCACGGGGCTTCGCGTATACAAGGAGATCAGACGTGAGTTTTTGCATGGTATACGCTACGGCGCCCGATGGGCCGTAGCGCAACATGGAGGGCCGTAGGTGGGGTGGTGTCGATTGTTTTTGGTCGACACCCTGCTCCTGCCCGGACAGCTGCGCCAGTCTGAGAAGGATCCCAAAGGATGCGAAGACGCACCTCGCCACCGAGCCCGCCGAGGCCTCGGAGTGGAAGGCCTCGCGCAGGGAGCTCCAGCGCACCCTCGAGGAACGCCGGGCCAGCAAGAGGAGGAGGATGGCCGACCCTGGCGGCCCCCCCCCCCCGCGTGGCTGCGGGCGCTGCGCCTCCCTCCGCGGCCGCGGCCCCGGCAGGAGGCGGAGGCAGCACCACGCGACCAAGGAGCCGCTCGGCTGGGACAGCGGCGGGGGCAGGAGACGCGCAGGAGGAGGAGGGGGAGGAGGAGGAGGAGAGGAGGGAGGAGGAGGAGGAGGAGGAGGAGGCCGCTAGCGGGTGGGGAGCAGCGGGCACGGCGCCCAGCACCGCCGGCGCAGGTGGGCGGGGGCGCGGAGCCGAGGGACGCCGAGGTGGGGAGCGCGAGAGGGCTCGCAGTCGCGCGGCGCGGGAGGCGGCCGAGGCCGCGGTCGCGACGGCCACGCCCGCGACCAGCGAGGCCGACGGGGAGCTGTGAGGGCGGCTTCCCTCCTCCTCCTCCTCCTCCTCCTCCTCCTCCTCCTCCTCCTCCTCCCCCTCCTCCCCCTCCTCCTCCTCCTCCTCCTCCTCCTCCTCAGCAGCCGTCGGCCTGGGCCTCAGGCGGGCCACCGCTGAACGCCGAGGAGGCGACGCCCGACGAGAAAAGGAGCCCAGGGACTGCCACTCGATTTCCGCGAACATCACAACGCTGGGAAAGAAGCTTGGCCTTTCATGTCGTCGGTTGAGCATCTTCAGCGTTATCAGTACATGGGGCTCGTGGAGACGCACGTGAAGGGGAGCGGGCCCACTCGCAACGAATGGGCTCGCAAGCTTCAAGGCATCAAGTGGAAGTGTTTAGATAATCGTGCTCGTCCAACGGGCAATCACAAGTCGGCGAGCACACAGGAAAGAGCCAACGAAGGCGGGGAGATCTTCGCGGCTCGCAACTATCGTCATGTGCAGAGGTTCGCGGAGAAGGTTTCGCAACTACCAGGATACTGCAGCGAATATTGTGCCATGTTCTATGGTTGCATGCCAGTGCATTAGAAAGATTTCAGCATCGTCTTCGTTATTTTGTACGGTCATGCCTCCGTTGGCCTCACACAGGACAACATAATTCGGTACTCCAAGGCGGGAGCTTCCGTTCGCAGTCTTCAGCTCAAACGGTGCATGATTGGAGGTTGCAGCATAGATGTTGAGGAGATGGTGACGTTTTAATGGTTTCGGCGATTGGGAGGACATATGAGGCGGTCTGAGATTGAGTATACCTGCACAGGGAGTTCAGGACAGTCTCACATCGACTACCTCATGTGAGTCCAGCGGCCGTACCCTACGGCAAGAGTGTCGAGGCAATATCCCACGTGCCCTTCAAGCCGCACGTGGGCCTCTCCATCGCGTTGCAGAGCGAGGGGCAGCAGCTGCTCACCGGGACCCCAGAGGTGGTGCCGCGGCTGCCGCGCGCGGAGCGGCCTCGACAGGAGCCCACGGCCAGATCGAAAGCCAGTCGGGCTCGCCGTGGAAACAGCATGCGCAGTGCTTGGGCCTGCGAGAAGCATCGTGAGGTTCGTGGCGAACTGTCATCCGACTCGCTGCGCCCGTCTGGGACCGAGTGTGCTCTTGCTGAGGTGGGGTGGTGGTGCTTCGCCCGCTGGTCCGTCGGGGCCCCCGGCTGGACCCACTCCGTCCGCGGGCACCCTCGGGGCGACGCAGTCAGGCTTGGATGAGTCAGGCGAGCTTGACCAGTTCCACCTTGACTGCGACTCCGAGGGGGCAGTCGACCCTCGGGCGCACGAAGGTACCTTGCAGTCGATCCCCGAAGACGTCGAAGGGCGCTTCTCCCTGGGGGGGCGAGGGTCTTCCTGCAGGGGGTGTGTCAGCGATCGCAGGCAGTCTGAGGTGTCGAAAGAGTCTCACCGCTTCCGCGGACCGCCCCAGTAATCCAGATATCTCAGGCACTGTTGAGCTTGGTGAGGGAGTTTCGAGGGAGAGCGCGGCCGACCAGAGCGAGAGTCCTCAAAGGGAAGCCCTCAACTGAGCTGAGGAAAAATCCCATCTCCCTGCTGGTGCTGATGCTAGGCCCTCGTTCGCCATCTCTGCTGCTCCTTGGGCAAGTACGCAGCCTGGTCTGCGGCCGAGAAAACCACTTCAGCGCATCATCAGGTCGAGCCTCCGCGCACTTCGAGAGCGAACGGATTTCAACTACGCGTCGCGTCCGTACACGCGTGCGTACATCAGGCCCAGCATATCAGGACTCAGCCTCTACACGATTATGTAGCAGCCTGGTGGAGCAGCGTGCACTGTGGTTCAGAAGCTGCATCGCCATCGCGGTCGTGGCAACGGTCGGCAACAGGTTGATCATTCATGCGAGGCTGTTGGCAAGCTGGCAGACTGTGCTCCCGACGCGTCGACTAGATTCGGCCAGCTAGTCACGGGCCTCATGCACTACTTCGAGAGCACGTAGCAGTATTGGAGATGCTTCGGTGGATGGTCTCAAGAGTTTGGAGATGAGGGCTGTTCAAGATGCCAAGCGTGCTCAGACTCTTGCGGCCAATCTTGAAGTTCGTGAGTTCAAGGAGTGGGTTGGTACCATGCAAGCCATTGGAGTTGTCCATCGCGGCATCAAGGATCCATTGCCAAGTATTGAGGAGGTGCACGTCGGGCAACAATCCTATGTGAATTCATTTGATACTATCGATCACAAGGTTTCCCGGTGGCATGAGCTTTGAAAGTCAGATACACTGCCTTTTCAGCGTTGCAGAATGCTTGCGATACTACTCGGACTCAAGCCAGAATCGAAGGCAAAGTACCGTTGCAGGTCAGTGATCTTCGGCGGGCACTGGGCCGCATGAAGGCCAAAGCTGGGCCAGGAGTATCTCGCATGTCACCAGTAGATGCTCAGCGCTTGCCCTACGAGGCTCGGCAAAAGTTGCGTCGGGTGCATACCATGATCGAGGAAGGTTATTTCCTGGCCATGGCAGGCCATGGCCATCGCCAGGCGCCCTCTCGGCAAGAAGTCGGGGGGCGACCGAGTCAGTGGACTCATCGCCATGCCATATCGGGCATGGCCGATGGCGCGGGAAGACATCACCAAGCCATGGACAGCCGAGCAGGAGCCCGCGTGGGACGCAGCGGTGGCCAACAACAGTGCATGGCGTGAAGCTTTCAGTCATGCATTGACTGGCGAGGCGCAGACAAGGCTGCGAGTCCCACGCGGGCGAGCACTGGTGGATATAAGTTTCTTGTACGACTGCTTCTCGAGATGCAGTCGCGTTTGCACCCGCAAGCTCTATCACAATTGGACCCATGATCCAAGTTGTTCCAGCCTACGAGGTCGGTGGTTCAAGGCTTACGACATGGTACCAGATTTGGGCGATGCATGACGTATAGGGTTATCATGAAACTTAGCACGGCCCGCGCATGCATGACCGAG